GGGAGGCCGCTTCACCTTGAAGAGCCACCGGCCATCGACTACGTTCATCCCAGGCGGGGAAAGTGCGTCGACGTAGGTGCCAATGGATCTCTAAGATACCATCTCCTGATCCATGGCTGCTATCTACTGAGACGCCCAGAGTCCCGAGGAAGCCTCAGCGTAAGTGCGAGGGGTCGGGATGCCCAAGGCATCTGGGTCCCCCTCAGGAACTAGCTGCATGGAGCAGGGATGAGGCGCGGCCTCGGACAGGAAAGCAAACTCGTACTGCCAGTCCTCTTGGACGTCACTGCCAAGGGGAGGAGCACCCCTAACGGACGAAGGACGGGCAGGGTCAGAGACCAGAGCGGTGGCGTAGTCAAGGCAGCGAGTAGAGGCGAAGACAGCGACGGCAGCGACAAGAGCGTCAAGACTCGAGACAGGAATGGACGGGTCAATAACGAGGGAGGAAAGGACCCGAGGAACAAGAAAACTAGCAGCACAAAGATAGTCAGACAGAGGAGGCGGAGCAACAACAAGTGAGGACAGAGAAGGCGATGGGGGGAGGGGAGGACGAGACGCGCAGGACCGAAGCAACATAGGGTGGGAGCGCTGAACAGGAGAGACAAGACGAGCACGGGAGGGACGGCGAGACCAGACGTGAGACGGGAGCGTCGGGTCAGGAGATAGGGGAGGCTACACAGGAGGAGATCGAGAGGGAAGACGAGCCGGAGACGAGTCCGGCAGAGGAAAGACAGGGCCGTGGACAGGCAGGGGAGGCGGCGTGGGGGGAGCATGCGGGGGGTCCGGGGAGGGAAGACCGAGGAGGCAAAGGGCGGAGACCGACGGCGACTACGGCTGCCTGTGTTGCTGCTCCACGACGACACCAGAACCTCCAGCTGCACCACGGCTACCTCCGGGACACTCAACTCCAACACCCTCAGAACGAGAACCCTCTCCAGCACCGGTGCCACCTTCGAGACCGCCGGGCAAGCCACGACAGTAACCCGAGGACTAGCACCCCCAGAACCAGCACCCCCAGAACTCGCGAACCGTGTCGGCTGCTGCGGATGCGGCGACGACAACGGCTGCTGCTGCTGCTGCTATGGCGGAGGACGGGACACCAGGGCGGAGACAGGCAGCGACGACAGGGGAGGAGGGGACACCGGGGCGGAGACAGGTGGTGAAACTGATACCGCAGAGCCCCCGGAGTCAGCCGACTCCTCAACCAGGATAAGCGACTAGAGGGGAGTGACGTGCGACACACCAGACGGGGCATGACGGGGAGGGGAAGGGGCTATCTGGAGAGTGGGAACTAGAAACAGGGACGGGGAAACCAGGAGACCTCGATGGGGAAAGCAGTGGTAGAAGGAAACAGACTCGTCAAAAGTTACGTCACGCAAGTGCAAGAAGCGGTGAGAAGGCGGGTGGTAGAAGTGCCAGTCAGACGTGTCAAGTGGGAAACCAAGGAAGGCAGAGGGAAACGTGTAGGCCAGAGGCTTGTCCATGCCAGAGGCATGAACGTGAGCAAGGCAGCCCCAGACGTGGAACGCAGATGCGTCACCAGGGAACCCGGTCCAGAGAAGGGTCGGCGAAACTTGCGGCCGCTGGGAGTGCGGCCACAAGTTAAGCTGGTGAATGGCATAGCAAATAGCAAACGGTTGTCCCTGCTGAGGAGTCCGCTAAATCTCGCGGCTCGGCGGAGTCTCTTCCCCCGCGTGTCCTTGCCCCGATCTCGCCTCCCCTGTCGCCGCTGCAGCCGCCTCCGCCGCAGCCGCCGCAGCCGCAGCCGCTGTCGTCACCGCCGCTTGGGTTCGTGCATTTTGGGGGTGCTGGGGAGCGGGCTAGAGCTGGTTCTAGAGCGGGCTCTAGGGGTGCTGGCGTGGGGCTTCTCGGAGGGAGCCGTGTTGTCGCTGGAGATTCTGGTATTGGAGTCGGCCAGCAGTCGCAGTTGTCGCCGCCGGTGTCCGCTCTTCGCCTCTTCGGTCTTCCTTCCCCTTTCCGCGTGCCGGTGCCTCCTCCGTCGTTGCCGCCTCCTCCTCTGCCGGTCTACGGCCCAGTGTTTCCTCCCCCGGACTCCTCTCTGACTCTTTTCCCTCCCCGTTCTCCTCCTGTGTCTCCTCCCCTCTCTCCTGACCCGACTCCTTTGTCTAACGTCTGGTCTCGTCGTCCGTCTCGTGCTCATCCTACCTCCCCTGTTCAGCGGTCTCACCCTATGTTCCTTCTCTCCCACGCGTCTCGTGCTCCTCCGCTCCTCCTGTCTCCTCCTCCGTCGTCGCTTGCTGTGGCTCCGCCCCCGTTCTCGGACTTCCTCCGTGCTGCATGTCCCCTTGTTCCTCGTGTCCTTGCCTCTCTCGTTACCGACCCGTCCATTCCTGTCTCGAGTCTGTCGGCTCTTGTCGCTGCTGTCACTGACTTCGCCTCTACCCGTCGCCTGGACTACGCCACCGCTCTGGTCTCTGACCCTGCCTACCCTCCGTCCTTCGGGGGTATGGCTGCCCTTGGTAGTGACGTCCTAGAGGACAGGCACTACGAGCTCGCTTTCCTGTCTTGACTATGCCACAGCTCTGGTCTCTGACCTAGCCCGTCCTCCGTCCGTCGGGGGTGCTGCTGCCCTTGGCAGTGACGTCCTAGAGGACAGGCAGTACGAGCTTGCTTTCCTGTCTGAGGCCGCACCCCATCTCTGTTCCATGCTGCTAGTCCCTGAGGGTGACCCAGACGCCCTTAACATCCCGACCCCTCGCACCTATGCTGAGGCCACCTTGGGACCCTTGGCCTCTCAATGAATAGCTGCCATGGAGCAAGAGATGGCATCTTGGATATCCACCGGTACCTTTGTCGACGTAGTTCCCCCACTTGGGGTGAACGCAGTCGATGGCCGATGGCTCTTCAAGGTGAAGCGCTCTCCTAGAGAGCCGCCTGACTTCAAGGCGCGCTACGTTGCTCGCGACTTCAGTCAGCGTGAGGGGGTGGACTTCTTTCAGACCTTCGCCTCGACCCCGAAGATGACTACTCTTCGGGCAGTGCTACGCGTAGTAGCACAGCGTGACTACGAGTTGCACTCCCTCGACAGCTCCACAAGTTTCCTCCAGGGCAGTCTACACGAGCAGGTCTACCTGCGCCGCCCCCAGGGCTTCTCCGGTACCTTTCCCCTTGGTACCGAGTGGCTCCTCCGCCGCCCCGTCTACGGCTTGCGACAGGCGCCCCGTGAGTGGCACGACATGCTGCGTGCTGCACTTGCTGACTTGCAGTTCTTCCCTTCGTCTGCAGACCCCTCGCTCTTTGTCCATTCCGGCCAGACTCCGTTCTACATCTTTGCCTATGTAGACGATCGGGTCTTTGCTACTACAGACAGAGACACACTGGCCGCCGTGAAGGCCGAGCTGCTGAGGAGATACAGCTGCACTAACCTAGGAGAGCTGCACCGCTACCTTGGCTTGCAGATGTCCAGGGACAGAGCAATGCACACCATCACTCTCACACAGTCACACTTGATGCGCCAGGTCCTTCAGAGGTTCGGCCTTCAGTTCTCTTCCGCACAGCCCACCCCTTTGTCAGTAGATCACAGACACTCTCTGCCCCAGTCCTTGAGGAGGCTGTAGAGCCTAGTGGTACCTACACAGAGCTGGTGGGTTGCCTCATGTACCTGATGACTTGCACTCGTCCAGATCTCGCATACCCTCTCAGCATCCTGGCTCGCTTTGTGGCCCCAGTCAGACACCGACCACAGCACAAGTCGGCAGCTAAGAGGGTTTGGCGATATCTAGCAAGTACATCAGGCATGGGGCTAGTGCTAGGAGGACGGAGACCAGTGGTTCTTACCGAGCACACAGACACTTCTTGGGCAGACGACGCCGAGACTGTCAGGTCCTCACAGGGCTACTGCTTTAGCCTTTGTTCAAGTGCCATCTTGTGGAGGTCCACCTGTTCGTCGTCTCTTGCCCAGTCTAGCTGTGAGGCTGAGATCTACGCCGGTGCCATGGCGGCACAGGAGCTCTGCTGGCTGACCTTCTTGCTCACCGACTTGGATGAGCGGCCTAGTTCTGCCACGGTTCTGTACGCTGACAACAGGGCCATGATCCTCCTGTGTCAGGAGCCACGACTTGAGGGCAGAGCGAAGCACATCCAGCTGCGGTACTTCCACGTGCGCGAGCTACAGCAGCGTCGCCAGCATCTCACTTGCTAGGACCTTGATTGTGTACAGACCTTTATATATATTACCCTGACTGGCCTTGTGGCCTCTTTCCAGTGGTTGGACTAGTAGTGCCACCCTGGTCTTGCTCGTGCCTTGTCTGTACTTGTGTGACTGGTCTTTAGACCCCTGCCTCAGAGGCTGGACTAGTAGTTCCACCCTGAGCTGTTTCTCTCTCATCAGGCATTGCCCCTATCTAGTCTAGGGGGTGTTTCAAACATATGCTGTATTTTTCTGTAGACTATATAGGATTGTGCCTTAAGGAGTACAACCCGTTAGGTTATATTCCCTTGTATGCCTTGTTCTAGACATTCTTTAACTTGAACACCTATCTAGCCTATAACAACAAATATATATGAGTTGATCTTTCTTGGCGAGAGCATATATATCTAAAAGAAGGATCTGGGTGTATGCATGCTGAGTGGCACCAGGCATTCATTGCACTGAAAATGGGCGCCTTTAGTAGGCAACTCAGTTATAAATGGATGTATTTAGACGAAATTCATGACTTTGAAGCTCATAAGCATTTGCTTCAGGGCATACATGATGAGATGGGAGTGAAGAAGTGCATTGGCCTCATGCCGTTGTTACACTGAAGCAGCTATTGTGGGTACGCGACGAGGGTGACCTCAGATCTTGTTGCTTCATGATTGCTTCAGCAAATCTAGGCCGTCCATATCCTTGCAACATCTTCCAGACACCCCGTTGCGGCTAGGGCAGGAGCTCTTTCCTCGCACCTGCCTTCCTTCGATCTGATTGTCAGCCTTCCACCTCGCCTGTTGCTGATTCCGAATCCTTGGGTCAAATCTCAAGGCTCTTTCTGATCTCAAAGTTGCTCAAACCAGGATGTAATTCTGAACAAGCGAGCTGCGTGGAACAGAAGGCAGATCACCAGCCACAGTACGCGAGGGACGGCAGAGGCCGCTGTCCAAAAGCTTGAATTCCTGGGTAGTGCGTCGGCCAGACTGCTGTCTGCGTATGTGCGATCGCGTCTTCACGGCCGATTGACTAAACTGATCGTTCTCTTTCCTGCTCTCTAGCGATGTCGTCCAACTTGGGATCCATACCGGACAGCACGTTCCCAGCGTGGTCGCAGTCCGTGTCGGAATGTCTCGACAAGTTCCAGGTGGATCCCGTCAACGGCCTGGACCCGCAGGACGTGGCGTGGCGGCGCAGCCGGTTCGGGTTCAACGAGCTGGAGAAGGAGCCGGGGACGCCGTTCTGGAAGCTGGTGCTCGATCAGTTCGACGACACGCTCGTCAAAATCCTCCTCGCCGCTGCTGCCGTGTCGTTCGTCCTCGCTTACGTGGACGAGCAGGTGAGCGAATCGCATGTCGACTCGTCTCGAAGTTCCCCCGTCTCGAGACGTTTTGTTCTCCGTGCTTACGTGGAGGTGCAGGTGAGCGGATAGTCTTCTGCGTCGTCTCGGTATCCGCCTGTTTCGAGGAAGTCCGATCGCGTTGCTTACGCGGACGAGCAGCCTCGTGAATCGAGTATGTTCCTGGAAGTTTCTCGGACCAGAAAAGTTGCCAACTGATTGGATCGGACGTGTCGTTTGCGTCAGTGTGGCTCTGATTCTGATTGCGCTCAGATAGACTTCGCTGTTTGCGGGTCCCCTCTCCTCTCTCGAGAGAGAACTCGTCCGTTACTTGACTGTGCACTGTCCGGTAAATCATGGCCTTATTTGGCGTCCTCTCCTGTATTCATTTCGGCGGTAATTCTTCCCCGTTCAAACCTCTTGTCTTCTTCCTCCCGTTCCCCCTTCTCCTGCCTTCTTCCCTGCCTCCGCCCCTTTTTCCCCCCCACCATCAGGAGGATGGCGGCATCACGGCGTACGTGGAGCCGCTGGTCATTCTGCTCATCCTCATTCTCAACGCCTGCGTGGGCGTGTGGCAGGAGAGCAACGCAGAGCACGCTCTAGAGGCGCTTAAAGACATGCAGGTAGGCCGTAGCGGCATGCTGGTAGGCCGGTAGCAGCGTGCGACAGAAACATACTGGCGCGTTTAACAGAACACCCCGCGATTATATGGCCGCTTCACGATTAGCCGTGCCGCTTCACCAACAGCCCTGCCGCTTCACCGCCAGCACAGCTGCCATAGACCTTGAAAGCCTAGACGGTGCAAGCAGCCCACATATTATCAACCCACTGTCGTCAGGTTTGGGGTTTTAGAGTGTCCCTCGTCCCCTCCATCATTTGTCGTTCTCACCCAGCACATAAACGACCTGCCAGCACATAAACGACCTGCCAGCACGTGACTTGCCATTTTCCCGCTTCCCTTTTCCAGCCATCCTACCCATCCCGTTCATCCCTTCTCTCCCTCTGGCTCCTCTCCCTCAGTCCGAGACCGCCAAGGTGGGGCGGGCGGGGCAGCACATGCCAGCACGTGACGCCTTTCCCCGCTTCTCTTCCCCAACCATCCTCTCCCTTCCTCCATCCCTCCCCTGCCGCTCCCTCAGTCCGAGACAGCCAAGGTGGTGAGGGCGGGCGGGGCAGCACATGGACGACCTGCCAGCGCTTGAATCAGCCTTTCCCGCCTCCCTTCCTTACCCATCCTTCTCATCCTTCCCGCCCGCCCCCCACCCCCCCCCCTTGGCCCCTCCCCCCCAGTCCGAGACGGCCAAGGTGGTGCGGGCGGGGCAGCACATAGACGACCTGCCGGCGCGGGAGCTGGTGCCGGGCGACATAGTGGAGCTGCGCGTGGGGGACAAGGTGCCCGCCGACATGCGCGTTATAAGGCTCCTCACTTCCACGCTGAGAGTGGAGCAGGCGTCGCTGACAGGGGAGAGCATGGCCGTGCAGAAGTCCGCGCATGAGGTTCAGCAGCAGGACTGCGAGCTGCAGGTGAGGGGGAGGGGGAAAGAATGGGCTTGGTTTGTCTCTGAATGCTGAAAGATGCGGTTGGGCTTGAAAGATGCGGTTTGATGGTGTGGGGAAGGAAAAGTGCTGAAATGCTTCAGAACGTGCAGAGGTGCGCGCATGACGTTCAGCAGCACGACTGCGAGCTGCAGGTGAGGGAGATGTTTTCAAGGCCGCGTGAGTTGACTTAGCAGACTGTGAGCCGAAAGTTCTTGCTGAATTGCTGAAGACGTGCAGAGGTCCGCGCATGCGGTTCAGCAGCAAGACTGCGAGCTGCAGGTGGAGGAGTGTGGTTAAGGGGAGGGGTCTCGGCCAAGGGGTCATGAGCTCGATCAAGGGGTTACGTGGCTCGGCCATGGGGCCACTCACTAGGTCAAGGGGTCAGTTTAGTCGGCACACTGACAGAAGGACTGTGAGGTTTAGAGCGAGTGACCCTGGTAGGGGGAAGGACATGGTGTTCACTGTACCACAGTGGTGCCACGTTTCCATTTCAAATCCGCTTGTGTGAGCACCTCCTTGCCGCCCTCTCTTCCAAAGACTCACACTCATACTGTACGCATCTCCGTGCTGCTCCTCCCCATCCTTCCAGTCCAAGGAGAGCATGGTGTTCGCGGGCACCACAGTGGTCAACGAGTCCTGCCCCAATCTCCCTTTCGCCTCTTTTGACACGCCTTTCCACTATCCCCACCTGCTCCCCAACCATGCAGTCTAAGGAGAGCATAGTGTTTGCCGACACCACAGTGGTCAACAAGTCCAGCCTGAATATCCCGTGTGCTCTGTGCTCTTTTCCTGATGCTCTTTTCCGGATGCTCTTTTCCGGATGCTCGTTTCCTGATGCTCTTTTCCTGATGCTCTTTTCCGGATGCTCTTTTCCACTATCCCCCCTCTGCCCCTCCCCATCCGTCCAGTCCAAGGAGAACATGGTGTTTGTGGGCACCACAGTGGTCAGCGGCTCCAGCCTGAATATCCCGGTTTCCCTTTGCCTGAATATCCTAAGACGGTTTCCCACTACCCTCCCACTGCCCCTCCCCATCCTTCCAGTCCAAGGAGAGCATGGTGTTCGCTGGCACCACAGTGGTCAACGGCTCCAGCCACAACCTGGTGATAGCCACGGGCATGAGCACGGAGATAGGCAAGATCCAGCAGCAGATCGCAGCAGCGGCAGCTGAGGAGGACGACACCCCCCTCAAGAAGAAGCTCGACGAGTTTGGGGAGCGCCTCACCACAGTCATCGGGGTCATCTGCCTGCTCGTCTGGCTCATCAACTACAAGTTCTTTCTCTCCTGGAAGCCGGATCCGGACGCGTGGTGGACCGGAGGGCTGAGATTCACCTTCTCGTTCCAGAAGTGCACCTACTATTTTAAGATCGCTGTGGCGCTGGCGGTAGCCGCGATTCCCGAGGGTTTACCTGCAGTGATCACCACGTGTCTGGCGCTGGGCACGAGGAAGATGGCGCAGAAGAATGCGATTGTGAGGAAGCTGCCGTCCGTGGAGACGCTTGGGTGCACCACTGTTATCTGCTCCGATAAGACAGGCACTCTTACCACCAACCAGGTGAGGCTGATAACGAGGATGACCAGACGTTTCAGTTCACCGCATCTGAGCTCAATCGTATACGCCCAAAGAACCCCCAAAACCGTAAATCTTTTGCCTCTGAATCCCCCCTCTAAACCCCCATCCCTTTGACCCCTCCGGCCCCCAGGTGTCTGTGTCAGCCCTAGTAGTCCCCCCGGCACCCTCCCCTCCCCCGGGCAGCTGTCATGTGCAACGATGCACGCCTTAAATGCTCTCTCGCCTCTGCCTTCCCCCCTCCTAAACCCCAGATGGCTGTATCCGCCCTGGTCCTCCCCGGCACCCTCCCCTCCACGTTCCTCTCCTTCTCAGTGGACGGCACCTCCTACAACCCGGCGGACGGGGAGATCCTTAACTGGGGGCGGTCGGTCACCTTCCCCAACACGCACTCGCTCACCCTGGCAGCTGTGCTGTGCAACGACGCGTCCATATCGTTCAAGGGTGGGGTGTATAGAGCCTCGGGGCTGCCGACAGAAGCGGCGCTGAGAGTGCTGGTGGAGAAGATCGGCGTGCCGGATGACACGGCGCAGCTGGGGATCCGGAATAAGAGGAAGGGGGCGCCCGCTGCCCACTTGCAAGGTGCGTGAGTGAGAGGGGTGAGCAGGGAGAGAGGCGTGGAGAAGATTGGCGCCCCGGAAGACACGATGCACCTGGGGATCCGGAATAAGAGGAAGGGGGCGCCCGCTGTAGTGGCGGAGTGGCAGAGGGGGTGCTTTGATGGGAGTCAGATTGGTCAAAGAAGGTGCTGCTGCTGCTGCATTGCGAGCTTGGATTGCGTGGTGGGCCAAGTTGTGAGAGCGGAAAGGTGTCGTGATTGTGAGAGCGGAAAGGTGTCGTGGTTGTGAGAGCGGAAATGTGTCGTGGTTGTGAGAGCGGAAAGGTGTCGTGGTTGTGAGAGCGGAAAGGTGTCGTGGTTGTGAGAGCGGAAAGATGTTGCGGCTGTGAGAGCGGAAAGGTGTCGTGGTTGTGAGACGTCTCAAAATTAGATTACTAGGGTTATTAGATAACTCGTGTGCTGTAGATGATTAGGTAACCAGCACGGAGGAGAAGGATGTGTTGTTTATATCACAACTCTGCTGGATGACCTCCTGCCAGGCTTTACGCCACAATTAACCCCTTCTCCCCTCGTCTCTTCACCAACAGACGCGAACGAGTGGCGGGGCAAGCAGTGGGAGCGGAAGGTGGTGTTTGACCCAGCTGGAACCATCATTCCGCGTGCCTTCTCTTACCCATGTCTCCCCTTCACCAACTCCCCCTTGCCTTGCCTTGTCCTGCGGCAGACGCGAACGAGTGGTGGGGCAAGCAGTGGGAGCGGAAGGCGGTGCTGGAGTTTGACCGCAGCCGCAAGTCCATGAGTGTCATTGTGCAGAGTGGCCTCGGCAAGACACGCCTGCTGGTCAAGGTGGGCGTGGATGCAGTGATTGTAACAAATGCAGAGGGGGAGGGAGCCCTGTATCCAACTAGCTGATGGCTCCACCTCTGACATGTGTCTGAGTTGTGCTATGAGGCACCTGTGGTTGGCGGCCCACAGAGGCAATTCTGCTGACCGACATGGTGTTCATGGTGCTCACACGCATCCGTTCTTCCCATACTTGTCCCCCAACCCCCCCCCCAACCCCACCCCAACCCCCCCTAATGCGCCCCTTCACTTCCCCTCCACTACCCCCAGGGCGCAGTAGAGTCAGTTTTGGAGCGCTGCACGTCCATCCAGCTGGCAGACGGCTCCATTGTCCCGCTCACCTCGGAGGGCCGCCGAGCCACAGAGGCCGTGCTGACGGGCATGGCGTCCAAGGCGCTGAGGTGCCTGGCGTTCGCGTTCAAGGAGGGGGCGGCGCTGGGCGCGCTGCAGGGGTACAGCGGGGAGCAGCACGTGGAGCACAAGATGCTGCTGGATCCAGGGAACTACGAGAAGATTGAACAGGGGCTGGTCTTTTGCGGGATGGTTGGACTGCGGGTGAGTGAGGGCAGGGCGATTTGCAGGGATGAGGGTGAGCGGGAGTGAGGCTGCATGCTCTACGATCGTGCTGGCACCAGTTGCTGCTGGACCCATTCAAGGGAAATGTTGGGAAGAATGAACAGGGACTTCTCCCTCCCCTCTCCCTCCCAGGACCTCCCCTAGAGAGGAGGTGCCAGCAGCACTGGAGGACTGCAGGGCGGCAGGCATAGAAGTAGTGGTGGTAACGGGCGACATAGAAGTAATGGTGGTAACGGGCGACATAGAAGTAATGGTGGTAACGGGCGACAACAAGAACACAGCGGAGTGGAGGCTATCTGGTGTATGTAAACTTCTGCACACTTCCTTCCCTTTCGTCCCTTCAACTTTCCTCCATCCCCCCCCCCTCCCCACTTTCCATCCCGCAGGACCCCCCTCGGGAGGAGGTGGCAGCAGCGGTGGAGGACTGCAGGGCGGCGGGCGTTAAGGTGATGGTGATAACGGGCGACAACAAGAACACTGCCGAGGCTATCTGATGTGTGGAGACTTCTGCACACCTCCCTTCCCTTCCGTCCCTTCAACTTCCCCCTCCATCTCCCCTTCCCGTTGTTCCATCCCGCAGGACCCCCCTCGGGAGGAGGTGCCAGCAGCAGTGGAGGATTGCCGGGCGGCAGGCATTAAGGTGATGGTGATAACGGGCGACAACAAGAACACTGCTGAGGCTATCTGCCGTGAGATCGGCGTGCTGAGCCCCTCGGACGATCTCAGCCGTTGCAGCTTCACTGGCAAGGACTTCATGGACCTGCCGGTTGCTGCCAGGATGGAGATTCTCAAGGTGGGAAGGGGCGGGCATTCCCCAGGGGTGGAACAATTCTCAAGGTGGGAAGGGCCGGGCACTCCCCAGGGGTGGAACAATTCTCAAGGTGGGATCTCAACTCAAAGTTGTTGATAATGTTGATTGGAATTGGCGTTATCTGGCGCTAACGATTATGGTGTTCATGATTCTTCCCCAATTCCCTTCTGGCTTGTATTTGTAGGGTTTTGAAGGAAAGGTGTTTTCACGAGCGGAGCCGAGGCGCAAGCAGGAGATAGTGCGCATGCTGAGGGAGCAGGGTGAGGCGGTGGCCATGACTGGCAACAGGGTTACCAATGCCCACCACGTCCACGCCCCCTCCCCTTATGTGTTATTGCTCCCTTCTGTAGGCGCCAGGGGGCAAAGTGTTCTCACGTGCGGAGCCACGGCACAAGCAGGAGATAGTGCGGATGCTGAAGGAGCAGGGGGAGGTGGTGGCGATGACGGGGGATGGAGTCAACGACGCACCTGCTCTCAAGCTGGCTGATATTGGCATTGCCATGGGCATTGCCGGCACGGAGGTGAGTGTGGCTGACTGCTCAGTACCCTTTTTTTTCTCGTGTTTCCTGCTTCCCCATTCATTAAACCTGCTATCATTTCACCATGTGCCGGAACCTTGTGTTCTCTCATCCCTGCCTTACAATCTTTGCTCCCCTCAGGTGGCCAAGGAGGCGTCAGACATGGTGCTGGCGGACGACAACTTCAGCACAATCGTCGCCGCCGTGGCGGAGGGGCGATCCATCTACAACAACATGAAGGCGTTCATCCGGTAGGGTGCACAAGCAGCATGAGAGCATTCGTGTGTTTATGCCCGCCAGAACACAAGAAGCATCAGTCGCAAATGGCACCCCAACGCTGTCTGCAATGCATGCCGTCCATGTGAACCAATGGAGCCTTACCTGCATCTGTCCTCCTCACTGCAGCCATTGGCTTGTCTGAGACTGCTGTCACTGCACCTGATCACATACACACTCATCCCTTCCCCCTTGCCCCCGTTCCTCCCCCCCACCCCTACCTACTCTCTCATGTCCTTTCAGGTACATGATATCGAGCAACATGGGCGAGGTGGCGTCCATCTTCCTCACAGCGGCCCTGGGGCTACCAGAGAACCTTATCCCCGTGCAGCTGCTGTGGGTCAACCTCGTCACGGACGGCCCGCCCGCAACGGCGCTGGGCTTCAACCCCCCGGATGAGAACGTGATGCGCAGACAGCCCCGGCGCAGCGACGACGCCCTGGTCACTGCCTGGGTGCTGCTGCGCTATGTGGTGAGTGCATGGGTGCTGCTCTATGGGCTGAGTGCATCGGTACTGCTACGATATGTTGTGAGTGCATGGGGAAGAAGAGGGGAGGGGGGATGGGGTTGTGCTGCTGCAATGTGTGCGGTGATGGAGGGTGATGGAGGGTGATGCTATCACTAGCTGTCACAAGCTGTCCAGGTGCGCTCGATGTGTCTTTGAGGTTAGTACCTGGGTGGTTTCGAGTCAAAGGTGCCCACATGCCCCACATTCGGCTCCTTCTCCCCTGCCGTGCAGATCATAGGCATGTACGCGGGCATAGCCACAGTGGGCGTGTTTGCCATCTGGTACACACACTCCCCCTTCCTCGCCATTGACCTCTACACCGCCTCTTCCCCAACTTCCTTCTCCACATTCCCTCCTTTGCCTCCCCCCCTCACCCCTCCCCCCACCTTCCTCCTGCCGTGCAGATCATAGGCATGTACGTGGGCATAGCGACAGTCGGAGTCTTCGCCATCTGGTACACGCACTCCTCCTTCCTCGGCATCGACCTCTCGCACGACGGCCACACGCTCGTCTCGCTGCACCAGCTGCGCCACTGGGACCAGTGCCGCTCCTGGGATGACTTCTCCGCTGCACCCTTCACCGCAGGAGCGCAGACATTCTCTTTTAATCACGACCCATGTGACTATTTCGAGTCGGGGAAGGTGAAGGCTACCACGCTGTCGCTGTCGGTTCTAGTGGCCATCGAGATGTTCAACTCGCTCAATGCACTCTCGGAGGATGTGAGTCTAACGAGGATGCCGCCGTGGGTGAACCCGTGGCTCCTGGTGGCGATGACCCTGTCGTTCTCACTGCATTTTCTCATCCTCTATGTGCCGTTCCTCGCTAACGTGTTTGGGATTGTGCCGCTGAGCTTCAACGAGTGGCTGTTGGTGCTCGTGACGTCGCTGCCGGTCATCTTGATAGACGAGGTGCTCAAGAAGATCGGGAGAGAGATGCACAAGGCGCCGACTCAAAGGAAAGTCAAGGAGGATTAGCACACCCTGCTATGAGAACTTTTAGGTGATCTCTTGTGCAAGGTGTGGTTTCTTACGATTTTTTGTTTGATATATCCATAATAATATGTACGATAGTGGTCATGGAATTAACAGGAATTGCCCCCTAACTTTAATTAAAGAACAAGATTTCGAAATCATGTAAGATGGGTTCAGTATTGCAATACATGTGTAGAGTAGCCGTCTAGCCTGCCATTTGCCGAGTTCGTCAACATCGCCAAAGCCTCAAAACAACACGTCACATCAGCCTGTTCGCGGGAGCACCGACAATGTGACTTTATCGAGAGATATGACAATGATGCTTCTGACACCATTTTCCAGGCACTCAACCCACCTCTGGTCGTGAATTCCAGTTCTGCCAGCAACTTCGGGAATCCCGTGAATCTCCCTAGCTTCTACCCTCTCGACCTTGGCTCTGACGGCATTCTAGTCAGGACTCAGGATCAAAAACTGGAGAAGGAGAAGGATAGTAGCCGACCGTAAGAGCTTAGTACGTAGAGAACTTGCGGGTGTCGTATTAGCTAGATTGATGATAACATGCGACGGAAGGGTCCTGATTAGTAGCGCCGTTTGACCTGCTGGTTGTTACTTACCGTCGTAGTTGATAGCCTCTCAGCCTCTTAGACGAATTATACTAGGTTGATGCATAAAAGGAAAGCGTGGCTCCAGTGAAAGGACATATTTCGCCAGCGCTTCGCGGTCAAGTCTATCTTCCTTATTATTCAGTTTGAATGGATAACGTTCAGTCGGCCGTCGGCAACGTCACGTCATGGTTTCGCAGGTATTCACTTTCGCACATAGCGTCGCCGGATCTCGGGAGGTCGCTGTTCTGCTGGTCGCAGGAACAGCCGACCAGTTTCTTCCAGTCCCTTCGCCTAGTCGCCTTACGCTTAAATCAATCTTGCTCTCCCGTATCACCTGGTCGCGTCCAGTCAGGGTTCCGCTGCCGTCTCTTTCGCTCCGGTTTCAATAGCTATTTATGTCTTTCACATGCGTGGAGCACTGCAAGGCTCATCCGTCCCTACCCTATAGCCTTTTCTTCTCTCGCTTCTTATCTTAGCTAGAACCCACGCGTAGCAGCGTTCCTGCTTTGTTTCAGCTCGCACGCCCTAGCAACCGACTCCCTAGAAGTTGTCCCTATCGGCCTGATCGTCCTGTCGTGTCTTGGTTGGTGTTTAGTCTGGGTCTGTGCTTCGCCCGGACCTGAGCTTTTCCCATCGTCTCTTCTCTTTCCTGGTCCTGACGAGCCCAATCGCAGGGCTGTAGCAGGCGGTTCGGACGAGCCTAATCGCCGCAGCGGATCAACGCAATCCATACACCAAGCAGTACGTTTGGAGATATTTGGCCTGTTCCATGGAGCGCTGACTGACGAACGTTGACGGATAGCTTAACGGATGTTGACTGAAATTGTGACGGTGTTGACTGAAGCACATCGTGGCCCACTCTCTTGCCTCGTCGTTTTACCTTTATCGGCTAAGTACTGTGCAAACCCTGTGGGTCCGCACACCATACCGTCTGTGTATCTCCTCATTCCTCCCCGGCTCCTATCTCCCCACCAGCCCCCAGCCATGGCCCATCACCACTCTGCACCGCATCAAGCGCAGCAGACGGAGCAGCAGTTGAGGGACGAGGAGCAGCGGCAGCTGGAAGAAGCACTCAGGCGCTCCCTGCAGGTGAGAGGGGGCTGCTGTATCTTATCCCAGGCTGCTGTTACAACGACTTTCCTCACTCACCATCTTGGCCCCCTGCTGTTCAGCCGTCCTTCCCTTGAGTCGATTGAATTTGCCGTCCCACTCTGCCCTCTCCCTCTCCCCCTCTCTCAACGTTCCCTCCGTTTGGTCTGCAGGAGCAGCAGCAGGTGCCGAGCCATCAGCAACGGGTACCGATCCACCACCAGCAGGTGCCGAACCACCAGCAGCAAGTTCCGAACCACTGGCAGGTTCCGAGCCAGCAGCAGCAAGGGGGTTGGCCCCCAGGAAGGAGCAGCCAGCCGGGGCAGCAGGGCGCAGGATGGGGGGAGAACACCGCGAGCGGGGAGGCAGTGGGGCGGGGCGGAGAGGGGGAGGAGGAGGACAGGGCGCTTCAACTGGCGCTGGAGATATCAAGAAGAGAGGCGGAGGAGGCATCTCAAGGTGTGTGCATGTGTGCTGGTCTGGGTGCGTGTGTGTGTGCAGGTAATTGATCCGTGTGTAGGGGTCTTTGCCGATGGCTGCACATGGCACAGACAGATCGTTGCATGCGCTGATCCTCTCGCTCCTTCTGTTCCCTGCCACACTCCTCCAGCTCTCAAGGCAGCCCAGGACACAGACGCAACAGCAGCAGCAGCAGCAACACCGGCAGCGGCAGCAGTGGCAGCAGCAGCAGCGCAGCGAGAAGCAATGAATCGGCACTGGTCAGCAGCAGCCGCAGCTGGTGCCGAGCCTTCGAGGCATGGGGGCGTGGGTGGAGTGGGTCCGGGCAGAGTGGGCGTGGGTGGAGGTGTTGAGGCGGCAGTAGACACGAGCAACGACGAGGAGATTGCACGGCTGCTGCAGCAGGAGCTGAACCTGGAGGAGGTGAGATGAGATGAAACGCGAGGGGAGATCATACACGAGATGAGGTGAAACCATGAGATGAGATGAAACGTGACATGAGGTGAAACTGGAAGGGGATGGGGTGAAACTGAAAGGAGTTGGGATGAAACTGAAAGGAGGTGAAACTGCAAGACTTAAGGGTGAACAGGAGGAAAGATGGAATGGAAGGCGAGTTCATCTCATGGGTTTGACACTGCCCGGTCTATCCCACCCACCCACTCATTCTCTGCCAGTCCTCTGTGTGTTCTCAGGGCAGTCACTCACACACGTCGGAGCCTCCCAGCTATCGCCCTTGGGCCCAAGCTCCTCAAGGCAGCGGCAATGGCAGCAGCAGCACCAACAACAGCGGTCGCAGCGGCGCTGCTGCTGCACCCGCTGGCAGCAGCGGTGGTGCAGGCAGCTCAGGAGGAGGGCGACCGGGCTTTGGAGGGGTTTTCTCATCGCTGCTGCCCTCTGTGTGTGCGGGGTGCAGTGCGCCCCTTGGCTTCTCCACTGCGCTGTCGTCCATGGGGGCGTTGTGGCACCCGCACTGCTTCAAGTGCCACGGCTGCCAGCAAATCATCGCAGAGAAGCAGGTGTGTGAGTACCATAGGGGGTTCTCCCATCTCAGCTGCCTTGGCTGCATCCCTGCGCTCAATTGGCCCTTGCATTAAATGGTAGTGCGGTACGAGCATGGTAGGTAAGTTGCGCATACAGCAGGGGCATCACACACCTAGCAAGTTGCATCACCTGCTCTCTCCTCCATGGTCCCTCTGAGCCACACGCACTGCTCCAAGTGCCACGGCTGCCAGCAAACCATTGCTGAAAAGCAGATATGATGGGGAGGGATGTTTCTTGGATGATGGGGAGGGATGCTTCTTGGATGATGGGGAGGGATGTTTCTTGATGATGGGGAGGGGTGTTTCTTGGATGATGCTTCTTGCCGCTACAAACAAAGCATTCAAGGCACCTCTCTCCACAGCAGGGATGCCATGGGGGTGCTTGCTTGCACCCCAAGTCGCCGTCCAAGTCGTCTTCCAACTCGTCGTGGCCCTTCCCGCCCCCCTCACTTTTCATGCCACGCCATCAGTTGAACATATAGGACGCAGCATGCAGCATGCCATCATGCCATCATGCCATCATGCCATCATGCCATCATGCCATCATGCCATCATGCCAGCATGCCACCGCAACATTCCTCCGTCCCTCCCCCTCTTCCCCTCCCCCCCGTGTTCCCCCACGCCACGCCCTCAGTTCAACATCAAGGACGGCCGCCCCTACCATGCGGCGTGCCATCGCAACCTCTTCCACCCCAAGTGCGCCGTCTGCCAGGATTTTGTGAGTGTTTACACAAACTGAGAATTCAGCCCAAGTGGTGCTCTCTCAAATGCTTCATCTGCCAGGAATTCGTGAGTTTGTCCTCTAAGCTCCAACCCTCTAGGCTGCAGCCCAAGCCTTTTGTTTCCATTTACCCATGCCCCCATTTACCCATGCCGCCATTGACCCATGCCGCCATTTACCCATGAACCCATTTACCCATGCCTCCATGTACCCATGCCTCCACTCACCCATGCCTCCATTTACCCATGCCTCCACTCACCCATGCCTCCATTTACCCATGCCCCCATTTACCCATGCCCCCATTTACCCATGCCGCCATTTACCCATGCCGCCATTTACCCATGCCACCATATACCCATGCCGCCATTTACCCATGTCGCCATTTACCCATGCCTCCACTCACCCATGCCTCCATTTACCCATGCCTCCATTTACCCATGCCCCAATTTACCCATGCCCCCATTTACCCATGCCTCCATTTACCCATGCCTCCATTTACCCATGCCTCCACTCACCCATGCCTCCATTTACCCATGCCTCCATTTACCCATGCCTCCATTTACCCATGCCTCCATTTACCCATGCCTCCATTTACCCATGCCTCCACTCACCCGTGCTTCTGTTCACCGATGAGCCGTCTTGCTCCCGCTCTACCCACAACGTTTTGCTCCTACCTCTGGACCATCTGACGTGGCCTATTCCTATTGGCCCTTCAGATCCGCCCTGACGCCATGGACATGACCAGCTTCCCTCTTTCTTGCATCTGTGCCATTTGGCATGGCCTAATCTTCTTCCCCCCCCCCTCTCCCAGCGTCCAGATCCGCCCCGAAGCCATGGGCATGACCAGCTTCCCTCTTTCTTGCGCCTGTGCCCTCTGGTTTGGCCTTCTCCCTTCTTTCCCCCCCTCCCCCCTTCTCCTCCCTGCCTCCCGGCCTCCAGATCCGCCCCGACGACATGGGCATGATCCAATTCCGCTCGCACCCCTTCTGGGGCGACAGGTGGTGCCCCGCCCACATGGCCGATGCCACCCCCTCCTGCACCTCTTGCTGCCGCCTGCAGGCGAGTCGCTTTATGATCCTTACAGCTCTCTCGCACACATCTGTCCTGCTGCTCAGCTCCCCAACGTTGTCCACCCTTCCTTCCCTGCACCCCTCCCACTAGCACAGCCTCTATCCTGCTTCCCTAAATTTCCGAGTAGTTCCCCAACCTGAGTGGTTTCCAAGTAGTTCCCCACCCTAAGTGGTTTCCAAGTGGCTCGCCACCACCTTGAGTGGATTCCGAGTGGTTTGCCAGTCGTTCGCAACCACGCTAATTGGTTTCCAAGTGGTTTTTCATGAGCCTGCATGGTTTCCCAGTGGTGTACAACCATCCTGAGCGGTTTCCGAGTGGTTCGCCACCACCATGAGCGGTTTCCGAGTGGTTTTCCACCACATGGAGTGGTTTTCCACTAGTTTGCCACCACCTTGATGATATTCCACTGGTTTGCCACCACCTTGAGTGGATCTCCACTGTTTTGCCGACACATTGAGTGATTTTCCACTGGTTTGCCGCCACCTTGAGTGGTATTCCACTGGCTTTCCACCACATGGAGTGGTTTTCCACTGGTTTGCTGCCACCTTGAGTTGTTTTCCACTGGGGTGCCACCACCTTGAGTGGTTTCCACTGGTTTGCCACCACCTTAGTGGTTTTCCACTGGTTTGCCACCATCTTGAGTGGTTTTCCGCTGGATTGCCACCACCTTAAGTGGTTTTCCACTGGTTTGCCGCAACCTTGATTGGCATTCCACTGGTTTGCCACCACCTTGAGTGGATCTCCACTGGTTTGCTCCCACATTGAGTGGTTTTCCATTGGTTTGTCGCCACCTTGAGTGGTATTCCACTGGTTTTCCACCACATGGAGTGGTTTTCCACTGGTTTACCGCCACCTTGAGTGGTATTCCACTGGCTTTCCACCACATGGAGTGGTTTTCCACTGGTTTGCTGCCACCTTGAGTTGTTTTCCACTGGGGTGCCACCACCTTGAGTGGTTTTCCACTGGTTTGCCACCATCTTGAGTGGTTTTCCGCTGGATTGCCACCACCTTAAGTGGTTTTCCACTGGTTTGCCGCAACCTTGATTGGCATTCCACTGGTTTGCCACCACCTTGAGTGGATCTCCACTGGTTTGCTCCCACATTGAGTGGTTTTCCATTGGTTTGCCGCCACCTTGAGTGGTATTCCACTGGTTTTCCACCACATGGAGTGGATCTCCACTGGTTTACCGCCACCTTGAGTGGTATTCCACTGGCTTTCCACCACATGGAGTGGATCTCCACTGGTTTGCCGCTGCCCTGAGTGGTTTTCCACTGGTTTGCCGCCACCTTAAGTGGTATTCCACTGGTTTGCCACCACCTTGAGTGGATCTCCACTGGTTTGCCGCCGCCCTGAGTGGTTTTCCACTGGTTTGCCGCCACCTTGAGTGGTATTCCACTGGTTTGCCACCACGTTGAGTGGTTTCCACTGGTTTTTCATCACCTTGAGTGGTTTTCCACTGGTTTGTCACCACCTTGAGTGGTTTTCCACTGGTTTGCCGCCACCTTGAGTGGATCTCCACTGGTTTGCCGCCGCCCTGAGTCGTTTTCCACTGGTTTGTCGCCACCTTGAGTGGTATTCCACTGGTTTGCCGCCACCTTGAGTAGTTTCCACTGGTTTGCCGCCACCTCGAGTTGTTTTCCACTAGTGTGCTACCACCTTGAGTGGTTTTCCACTGGTTTGCCGCCACCTTGAGTGGTATTCCACTAGTTTGCCACCACGTTGAGTGGTTTTCCACTGGCTTTTCATCACCTTGAGTGGTTTTCCACTGGTTTGTCACCACCTTGAGTGGTTGCCAACTGGTTTGCCGCCACCTTGAGTTGTTTCCCATTGGTTTGTGAGTGGTTTTCCACTGGCTTGCCGCCACCTTGAGTGGTTTTGCCCTGGTTTGCCACCACTTTGCCCTCAGCTATGGGTGGCCGGCGTCCAGCTAGGGGTGGCTGGCGTCCAGCTGTGGGTGGCTGGCGTCCAGCTGAGGGTGGCTGGCGTCCAGCTGTAGGTTTTCGAGTGGTTCGCCGGCACGCTGAGTTGGTTCCGAGTGTTTTGTGATCACCCTATGTGGTTTTCGATTGGTTTACCACCACCCGGAGTGGTTTCTGAGTGGTTCGCTACCAACCTGAGTGGTTTCTGAGTGGTTTGAGACTTAAAGCCTTATCCCTGTGCATTCCCCTTCGTTCTTCCCCTTGGTTGCAGTCTCGCGCTTCTCCGCCCTTCATTGACTTGCCAGACGGGCGGCATCTCTGTCTTGACTGCGTTGATTCTGCTGTGCTTGATTCAGCAGACTGCCGCCCGCTCTTTTCGTCCGTTAGTGCCTTCTTTGCTCAGCTGGGCATGGCAGTGAAGCAGCAGATACCGGTGCTGGCAGTGGAGCAGCAGGCACTGAATGACGCACAGAGGGCAGAGAGGGAGGTGAGTGCGGAATGACGGCACGCTGCTTTCAAAGGCACGTCACAGCATTGCAGCGAGGCAGCAGGCGCTGAACGATGCACAAAGAGTGGAGCGAGAGGTGAGTGTAAAATGATGGCACAGCGGGCTTAAGACACTTACCTGGGAATGGCAGGGAAGCAGCGGTGGAGCAGCAGGCGTTGAACGACACACATAGAGCGAAAGAGAAAGGTGAGTGCCCACCTGCCGTCACCACCTGTCATTGCCCACCATCCACCACCACCCACCGCACATCACCTCCCATCGTCGCCCACTGCTGCCCTATGCCCACCGCCCGTCACAGCCCGTCACCACCCGTCACCACCCGTAACCACCCGTAACCACTCCTCACCGCCTATCACCGTCCGTCCCCTCCCGTCACCGCCCATCACCGCCCATCACCGCCCGCCACCGCCCGCCACCACCCGCCACCGCCTGTCACTGCCCGCCACCGCACGTCACCACCCGCCACCGCCGGTCACTTCCCGTCACCGCCCGCCACCGCCCGCCACCGCCCGCCACCACCCGCCACCACCCGTCACTGCCTGCCACCGCACGTCACTGCCTATTGCCCACCGCCGTTACCCGTGCTTGCAGTGCAGTAACATGCGCTGAATGATGGTCAGAGAGCGGAGAAGGAGGTGCGCGGGTCAGGGTGTTGGTTCTGTGGCATGTGAGAGCAAGGCACTCAATGACGCACAGAGAGCTGAGTGAGAGGAGTGGGTGCGAGGTCATTTGTGTATCAACTGCCTCGTAGCATGGCAGTGAGGCAGCAAGGCAGCAGACACTTGCACTAGCATTGGAGCAACAGGTCTCTTGAGACACACAGGCCTTGAGTGCCTGGGCGTGCTGATGGCTTATGCGATTAGATTGTACGGATACTCGCCCCTTCCTCCCCGCCTCTCTTTCTTTCTTCCCTCGCCCTGTGACATCTTCTCCGCCCCCTCCCCTCCCTCGCTATAGTGAGGGCCGTGAGCATGTGTCATTGCTTTAGGCCTTTGCTTGCCCCCACCCACACCCCCTCGCATCTCGTCCCTACTTCCCCTCCCTCCCCTCCATCTGACCACCCGGGCCCCCTTCCCTTCCCGTTCCGCTGCCCCCTCTCCCCACACTGCCATGCAGGGCCACGAGCACGGGTCGCTCACTCGAGGCCTGTGTCTGTCTGAGGAGCAGACCATCCAAATGGTGGGTCGCCATGGCTGGTAGGATGGGGCGACATCCATACTTCTGCCATTCGTGCGTGTGCTGAGATGCAGGCCCCGCCGATTCTCTTCCCTAGCCTATGCCTGTCACTCTTCCAACGCCTTCCATGTGCCCTTCATCATTCACATTGAGCCCTGTGCCCTTCCTTCATTCACATTGCCTTTCCAGCTCATGCCGCTCGACCTTGTCGTGCCTTCTCTTCCCCCTTCGTCTGCTTCGTGCTCCCCCCCTCTCCCCCCCCCCCCCCCGCCCCGGCACCAGGTGGTGCGCCTCCCCGGCTCTCTCGCGCACGCCTCGCCCTTTGCGTCCATGGGCCAGCAGACCACCACGGTGTCGCGCCACTGTGCTGTCACCGCCATCCTCGTGCTCTATGGGCTGCCCAGGTACCACCTGCCCAGGTACCGCCTGCCCAGGTACCGTCTGCCCAGGTACCGCCTGCCCAGGTACCGCCTGCCCAGGTACCACCTGCCCAGGTACTGCCTGCCCAGGAACGTATAGATGTGTTGAGGCACCTGAGACACATGGCGACAGTGCTGTCAGTCACAAGGCTCTGGGCTGGCAGAGTGTATGCACGGGCGCTTTGACACGCCTCCACACACGTGCCCCCTTCCACACCTCCCATGCCTCTCCCTTCTCTGCACTTGCTCTGCAGCAGACCACTGCCACCCTGCTCCTTCTGCTATGCTTCGATCTCTGTCACTTGCAATCTCACCTTCCGAACCTCCTTCTTCTCCCCTGCCTGTATATGCCCCCCCTCCCCCCTGCCTGTATATCCTCCCCCCCCACCCCCCCCCTGTGTATTGCCCCTCCTCCTCCCCCCCCGCCCCTTGCCTGTATATGCCCCCCTTGCCTGTATATGCACCCCCCCTCCCTGTATATGCCCCCCCCTCCCTGTATATCCTTCCCTCCCTGTATATCCCCCCCCCTGCCTGTATATGCCCCCCCCTGCCTGTATATGGCCCCCCCTGCCTGTATATGGCCCCCCCTGCCTGTATATGCCCCCCCCTGCCTGTACATGCCCCCCCCTGCGTGTATATGCCCCCCCCTGCCTGTATATGGCCCCCCCTGCCTGTATATCCCCCCCCTGCCTGTATATGCCCCCCCTTGCCTGTATATGCCCCCCCCTCCCTGTATATGCCCCCCCTCCCTTTATATCCCCCCCCTCCCTGTATATCCCCCCCTCCTGCCTGTATATGCCCCCCCCTGCCTGTATATGCCCCCCCCTGCCTGTATATGCCCCCCCTGCCTGTACATGGCCCCCCCTGCCTGTACATGCCCCCCCCTGCGTGTATATGCCCCCCCTGCCTGTATATGCCCCCCCTGCCTGTATATGCACCCCCCTGCCTGTATATGCCCCCCCCTGCCTGTATATGCACCCCCCTGCCTGTATATGCCCCCCCCTACCTGTATATGCCCCCCCCTGCCTGTATATGGCCCCCCCTGCCTGTATATCCCCCCCCTGCCTGTATATGCCCCCCCCTGCCTGTATATGCCCCCCCCTGCCTGTATATGCCCCCCTGCCTGTATATGCCTCCCCCTGCCTGTATATGCCCCCCTCTGCCTGTATACGCCGCCCCCCCATCAGGGCACACGAGCTCATGCACGCCTGGCTCGAACTCTCCCCCCACCTCACCTCCACGCCGATCTTTGCTTGTATATTCCCCCCCGGCACCCCTCTGCACCCCTCTGCACCCCTCTGCACCCCTCTGCACACCCCGTCAGGGCACTGACAGCATCCATCCTGGCGCACGAGCTCATGCACGCGTGGTTCAAGCTCGACGGTACGCATCGCTGTTGCTCTTCCACACTCTCCGCCTTCCAACTCGCCTCTCTCCCAGTTCTCCCCATGCCCTCATATCCTCAGAACCACTTCCTCATTCATCCGAACCACTTCCTCCCCCTATCTGCCACACCAGGTGGCTTCCACCCAGCACCAGCCTGCGGAGGTGGAGGAGGGCGTGCGGCAGTCCATGGCGCAGCTGCGGTCCCCTTTTTCGCAGCCATCCCACCTCCCACCGCACCCCCCTTCTTTCCCTTTCCCCCCTGCCTCACCAGGCGGGTTCCGCCACCTGCCCAGCGAGTTGGAGGAGGGCATGTGCCAGGTCATGGCGTACCTGTGGCTGCAGACCCAAGCCGCACCCAACCAAGCCCCATCCCAGGCCTCATCCCATCATGCTCCCGCACTCTCCAATGCCGCGGGGGCTTCTGACGCTCTCACCGCTCGTGACGCGCACAGCAGCTTCCAGCAGCGCTTCGTGGACTTCTGCCTGCACTCCATCTCCACGGATGCCTCCCCGGTGTACGGCGATGGGTTCAGAGCTGCCCATGCTGCCGTGCTGAAGCACGGGCTGCTGCCCACTCTGGAGCACATTCGCATGCATCGCACCCTGCCCAGAGTGTAGGTGGGTATGGCGTGCTTGCTGTGTGTGGTGTGGGCTCATCCCTTCATGTCCACTGGTGCATCCCCGGTGTGTGGCGATGGGTTCAGTTCACACAGAGCTGCCCATGCTGTTGTGCTCAGGCACGGGCTGTTGCCTACTCTCAAGCACATGTGCAGTGCACCACAGAGCACTGCCTAGAGTGTAGATAAGGCATGATTGTTTGCTCTTGCTGGCCTTGATCATGTGGTGACTGCATTGACTGCACTGGCTGCTGCCAACTCTGGAGCACATTAGCTCGCACAATGACCTGCACAGGCTAGAGAGCAAGCAATGTGGCTCTTGCTTCCACTGATTATGTAGTGCGTGGTGCCCAGTGCCCAGTGCCCTGGCGTAGATACATGCGTGTGCTGTACGGTATTGTATCCTTATGTTTTCACACAATGTACAGTAGTTGAATTTGTCTTGGGAATGGAAACCAGGTAGTCTTGGGGAGGCTGTTGGAAATGGTCTTGGACGTTAGAATGGCATTGACTGCAACTGAAATCAGGTGAATTCTCAGCCAAGTGTGATAGGACCACAAACTCATAACGAGTCAGAAGTGAACTGTGGAAGCATGGAATGGAGTTGAAAGAGATGCTTTTGGTACAAGCTGTCAACTTATACATATGTTGCTATGTAGAATTTATAGGCTAGATAGTTGTATGTTCTTAGAGGGTACAACCAGAATGCATATATCTCCCTTGTTCCACTTGTATTCATCATTCTTTCATGTTGACGTGGTATCATGAGTAGGTAGGTCCACCCACCCTCTTCCGCCCCGCGCCCTAGCCTACCGCGCCTCGCTAGCCCCTCGCGCCCTAGCCGCCCCTCGCGCCTTCGCCAGCCCCTCGCGCCGTCGCTGGCCCCTTGCGCCCCAGCTGGCCCCTCGCGCCCCAGCCGGCTCCTCGCGCCTAAGCGGGCCCCTCGCACTGTCTCCAGCCCCTCGCGCCCTCGCTGGCCCCTCGCGCCTTAGCGAGCCCCTCGCGCCCTTGTCGGCCCCTTGTGCCCTAGCTGGCCCCTTGTGCCCTAGCTGGCCCCTCGCGCCTTAGCGGGCCCCTTGCGCCCTAGTCGGCCCCTTGCGCCCTAGCTGGCCCCTCGCGCCCTCGCTGGCCCCTCGCGCCCTCGCCGGCCCCTTGCACCCTAGCCGGCCCCTCGCGCCCTCGCCGGCCCCTTGCGCCCTAGCTGGCCCCTAGCGCCCTCGTCGGCCCCTCGCGCCCTAGCTGGCTCCTCGCGCCCTCGCTGGCCTCTCGAGTAGCAGCCCGCCCCTTGAGCCCTAGCCAGCCCTTTGCACCGTCGTCGCGCCTAGCCGGCCCGTCGCTCCTAGTCGTGTGCCCGCCTGCCACCTCACCGACTCCTTACGCGCCCTCCTGGCCACTAGCGCTCCGCTGGCCCTTCTCGCCCCACCGGCCCTGCACGCCTCCTACCCTCCTCGGCCTCCTGCCCTGTTTCCCCGCTAGAGCGCCCTACCGCCGAGCCACTGAGCCGCCGTGTCGCTGTGCCACCGAGCCGCTGAGCCGCCGTGACCCTGAGCCGCCGTTTCGCTGTGCCACTGTCGCACTATGCGATGGCGGACGCCGTTCTTCGCCTGGACGCTGAGGGGCACGCGATCGACTTCGCCGCCTCGCTCGTCGACCTCCACCGGCACCTGACAGGTCAGCGCCAGTATGGGCACTCCCTGGCTATGCATGTTGATGGCTTGCTTCCCCGCCCTTTTGCGCCTGTTCCCCTCCCTACTGACCCCACCACTGCTGAGAGCGAGGCCTTTGCTGCTGCTGCGCTCGCTCGCGCTGTCTGGGATTCTCGCGATGCTGTAGCGCAGCTTGCCATTAGTCATGCACTTCCCCTGTCTGAGCGTCCGTGCTTCACCACTGTCACGAACGCCAAGGACTTCCTCACTGCAGTAGATGAGTGTTACTCCACACCTGCTTCCGCCTCTGCTGGCCGCTTGATCCTCCCCATACTCTTCCCTGATCTTTCCGCTTTCCCCACTGTATCTGACCTCGCTACTCACCTCCGTGCACTAGAGACTAGCTACCGCGCTGCTAGCACTACCGCCCAGCTCACTGCCTTCCCCCCAACGTTCTGCGCTACCCTGTACCTGATTGCCATGCGCCTTCCGGACCGCTTAGCCACTGCCCGCAACCACTTCCTTAGTCAGCACCCTGCAGACCTCACCCTAACCACATTTGTCACTGCTCTGTCTGTGATAGAGACCTGCCAGCGCACAATCGCTCAGTCGAGCGGTGTTGCGGCAGTTCCTATCTTTTAGGGCTGTGCTCCCTCCCAGTGCACATACGCTGACGTCTCCGCCGTAGTTACCACGATTGCCCCTGCCACTGAGACAGCAGCTGCGGCTTACCCGCAGTAGCGCCAGCGCCGGGGCCGCCGTGGCCCCAAGGGAGGACGTGGTGGTGGCGCTGGTGGTGGTGGTGGTGGCGGGGACAGTGTTTCTGACGAGGGGGTTGGAGCTGGTGTCCAGGAGCAGCACCAGTCGTCGCAGTCGCAGCCGCAGCAGCACCAGCAACCGCCGCAGCAGCAACCGTGGGCTCGCCTCCCGCCGGGGTGGCCAGGAGCCCTTGGAGGTGGTGGTCGTGGTGGTGGCCCTCGCAGCTCCGCGTCCACCGGCGGCTTCGGTTCTATGATCTGCCAGTACCAGCTCCAGACCGGGCCCCTCCGTGGCACGGTGTGCTGTCGCCCGCACCTGACCGCCCGCTGCTTCCGCCGCCTCGACGACCTCTTCCGTCGCCGCTTCAGTCCAGCCCCGAACCTCCCCGACTGGCCCAGTCTGCTGCGCCACGGTGTGCCTGTGTTTGACTTAGACATGGATCAGATAAGTTATGCCCTGCATTCTGTGTATGCAGACGCTTCGAGTGTTTCCGGATCTTATTACCCTGTGTTCTCTAGCTTAGGCGTAGCATCTGTGTGTAGTCCACACTCCCCTGCTGCGTCAGGCGTAGGACAGCTTGCTTTGTCTAGCCTAGGCTCTATACTTGCTCCTCCTTCGTCTGCCACTACGGCTTCGCTGTCCTTCACTCTTGACTCCGGTGCGTCAACCTGCTACTTCCGCGACCACGCCACCCTCACGCCGCTTTCCGTGCCTGCCGCTATCGCACTTGCTGACCCCTCCTCTGGTCCTGTAGTTGCTCGGAGCTCCACTACCCTTCCTTGTCTGGCGGTTCCCTCGGGTTCCCTTACAGGCCTGCACATCCCATCATTCTCCAGGAACTTAGTTGGTGTCGGCTGACTTCAGGACCTCGGCGTCACCACTACGTTCCCTGGTCATGAGCGGTACGCGGTCTGTACCGAGACCGCCTCAGGTGCCCTACTTGCGACGTTCCCCCAGGACCCGGTGTCTGGCCTATTTACGCTGGACATTGCTTCCCCCCCGGTGGGCACGTCCTCTTCGGGTCCTGCGTCTACCCAGGTTGCTGCGGCTTGCTCGTGTCGGTCGCTCACTCACCCGTCGCTTCTGTGGCACCACCGCCTAGGTCACCCCGCGCTCCGAGTCTGCATCACATGTCTCAGCACGGTCTCATCCTAGGCCTCCCTGTGTCGCTTCCTACCCTCCCTCCCTCGCCTGCGCCGCCGTGCACGCCCTGCGTTGAGGGCCGGCTGCGCCATGCTCCTCATTCTTCGTCGCTTCGCCCTGCCACTGCACCCCTCCAAACCCTGCACTTGGACGTCTCTCGTCCCTGGCTCGCGTCGCAAGCGCTACTTTCTCGTGCTCGTCGACGACTTCACGCGCTACACCACGGTGTTTCCCCTGGAGCGGAAGGCCGACGTGCCTGCCGTTCTTATCCCGTGGGTCGTAGCTGCGCGCCTCCACCGCGGTCTCCCTTTGATGTGTCTCCACTCCGACCGTGGCGGCGAGTTCGCTTCTGGCCGGCTAGGACAGTTCTGTCGTGCGGAGGGCATCACCCAGTCGTACACCCTACCGGACTCCCCGCAGCAGAATGGGGTCGCTGAGCGACGCATCGGTTTGGTCATGGAGGTGGCTCATACCTCCATGATCCATGCCGGTGCATCCCATTTTCTGTGGCCGTTTGCCGTTCGCTACGTCGCTCACCAGCTTAACCTTAGGCCGCGCTCCCAGCGGCCCCAGGTTTCGCTGACCCTTCTTTGGACCAGGTTCCTTGGTGACGCGTCTGCGTTCCATGTCTGGGCCTGCCTCGCTCACGTTAGTGCCTCTGGCACGGACAAGCTTATTGCCCGCACTGTCCCTTGTGTCTTCCTTGGATTCCCCCTTGCCTCGTCTGACTGGCACTTTTACCACCCGCTGTCTCACCGCTTCTTTCACTCCCGTGATGCCACTTTCGACCAGTCTGTCTCCTTTTACCACCGCTTTCCCCACCAAGGTCTCCCGGTTCCCCCCCCCCTGTTCCTGATTCCCACTCCCCCGGTCGCCCCTGCTCCCCTCCCTCCCCGTTCTGCTCCGTCTGGTGTGTCTCACGTCACTCCCGTCCCGTCGGTTGCCCCGGTCGAGGAGTCGGCTGACTCTGGTGGCCCCGCGGCGCAATTTGCGCTGCCTGTCCTTCCCCCGGTGTCTCATCCTCCCCCGTCATCGTCGCCGCCGCAGCAGCTGCCGCCGCCGCCGCAGTAGCCATCGCCGTCGCAGCAGTCGCAGCCGATCGTGGACTCTGGGAGTGCTGGCGTTGAGGAGAGTGCTAGTCCTGGGGTTCCTATCGTGGCTTGTCCTGCAGGGCTCGGGGGTGGCATCGGTGCTGGAGAGGGTTCTCGCTCTAGGGGTGCTTGTTCTGGGGGTGCTGGATTGGAGTGTTCCGGAGGTGACCATGGTGCAGCTGGTGGTCCAGGTATCGGCGTCGAGCAGCAGCAGCAGCAGTCGCCGACGGTGTCCGCCCTTCGCCTGCTTGGCCTTCCCTCCCCCGACCACTCGTCGGCGCCTCCCCCGCCGCCTCCTCCTCTTCCTGTCCGCGGTCCTGTGTTTCCTCCGTCGGACTCGTCCCCGGCCCGTTTCCCACCTCGTTCCCCTCTTGTTTCTCCTCCTCTGTCTCCTGACCGGACGCCTCCGTCTCACGTCTGGTCTCGCTCATCCTGTCTCGTCGGGGAGCGAGACAGGACGAATTCGCACCCCATATTGCTTCGTTCCCACGTGTCTCGTCCTCCCCTCCTGCCTTCACCTCCTCCGTCGTCGCTCGCTGTCATGCCTGCCCCTCTATCTGATTACCTTCATGCTGCTCGTCCACTTGTTCCTCGGGTCCTTGCCTCACTCGTTACCAACCCGTCAGTTTCTTACTCGAGTTTTGACGCTCTTGTCGCTGTTGTCGCTGACTTTGCCTCTACTCACCGTCTTGACTATGCCACAGCTCTGGTCTCTAACCTAGCCCGTCCTCCGTCCGTCGGGGGTGCTGCTGCCCTTGGCAGTGACGTCCTAGAGGACAGGCAGTACGAGCTTGCTTTCCTGTCGGAGGTTGCTCCCCATCTCTGTTCCCTGCTGCTAGTCCCTGAGGGTGACCCAGACGCCTTTGACATCCAGACCCCTCGCACCTACGCTGAGGCGACCTCGGGACCCTAGGCCTCTCAGAGGATAGCTGCCATGGAGCAGGAGATGGCATCTTGGAGATCCACCGGCACCTACGTCGATGCTGTTCCCCCACCTGGGGTGACATAGTCGATGGCCGGTGGCTCTTCAAGGTGAAGCGCCCCCCTGGAGAGCTGTCTGTATTCAAGACGTGCTACATGGGTAGAGGCTTCAGTCAGCGAGAGGGGGTGGACTTCTTTCAGACCTTCGCCCCGATCCTGAAGATGACTACTCTTCGGGCGCTGCTACACGTAGCAGCACAGCGTGACTATGAGCTCCACTCCCTCGACTTCTCCACTGCGTTTCTTCAGGGCAGCCTACACGAGCAGGTGTACCTGCGCCGTCCTGAGGGCTTCACCGGTACCTTCCCTCCTGGGACCCAGTGGCTCCTCCGGTGCCCGGTCTACGGCCTGCGATAGGTGCCTCGTGAGTGGCACGATACGCTGCGTGCTATGCTAGCTGGCCTGCAGTTCTTTCCGTCCTCTACAGACCCTTCGCTCTTCGTTCGTGCTGGCCAGACTCCGTTCTTCATTCTTGTCTACGTAGACGACCTTGTCTTCGCTACTGCAGACAGAGACGCACTGGCCTCCATGAAGGCTGAGCTGCTGAGGAGACACACCTGCACTAACCTGGGAGAGCTAGGCCACTACCTTGGCTTGCAGATCTCCAGGGACAGAGCAGCGCGCACCATCACTATTATACAGTCACACTTGGTGCGCCAGGTCCTTCAGAGTTTCGGTCTTCAGTTCTCCTCCTCACAGCCCACACCTCTGCCAGTAGATCACAAGCTCTCAGCTCCAGTTCCCGAGGAGTCAGCAGAGCCCAGTGGTCCTTATGCAGAGCTAGTGGGTTGCCTCATGTACCTGATAACTTGCGCTCGTCCAGATCTCGCATACCCTCTCAGCATCCTGGCTCGCTTTGTGGCCACAGGCAGACAGTGAGCATAGCACTGGTCGGCCGCTAAGAGGGTTTTGCGTTATCTTGCGAGTACATCGGGCATGGGGCTAGTGCTAGAAGGACGCAGGCCAGTGGTCCTTACTGGGCACACTGACGCTTCTTGGGCAGACGACGCTGAGACCCTCAGGTGCCATCTCGTGGAGGTCCACTTGCTCCTCGTCTGTTGCCCAGTCTAGCTGTGAGGCTGAGATCTACGCCGGTGCCATGGCGGCACAGGAGCTCCGTTGGCTGACCTTCTTGCTCGCCGACTTAGGTGAGCGGCCTAGCTCTGCCCCGGTCCTGTACGCTGACAACATGGCCATGATCCTCTGTGTCAGGAGCCTTGACTTGAGGGCAGAGCAAAGCACATTCAGCTACGGTACTTCCTCCTGCGTGAGCTACACCAGCGGCGCCACGCCCGCGTAGTACACTTGGCCTTCGGTGACAACACAACTGATATCTTTACTAAGGTGCTTGCGCTTAAAGATCATTAGCAGCACTGCTTGCAGCTTGGTCTAGTTCCTGTTGACTCTCACTTGCTAGGACCTTGATTGTGTACTCCTCTATATTTATGCCTTCCAGACTGGCCTTGTGGCTACTCTTCCATTAGTCAGACTAGTAGTGCCGCCCTAGTTTGCTCTTGTCTTGTTTGTACTCTTGCTAAGTGGTCTTTGGACCCCTGCCTGAGAGGTTGGACTAGTAGTGCCACCTTGAGCTGTGTGTTTTTTGCTCTGCACTACCCCTTATCTAGCCTAGGGGGTGTGTCAACTTATACATATGTTGCTATGTAGAAGTTATAGGCTAGATAGTTGTATGTTCTTAAAGGGTATAACCAGAATGCATATATCTCCCTTGTTCCACTTGTATTCATCATTCTTTCATGTTGACACAAGCATGACAGGATTGTCAGAACTCAGCCACTAACCACTGAGTTAAAAGGGCTTATTAATAGCAGGCCAATACGCCCATAGCCCCCCAGGCTCTGCACCTGTGGCCCTTCCCCGAGGATTTTCTCAAGGGTAACCCCAGCGGGTCACTCGACACCCCCCCTCGCTGGGATAGGTGGAAGACACGAGCGCCTCTGCAGCACTAGCACTGGGAATTGAACCCGAGTCACCAACGCTCTGATAGCATGTCAGAACTCAGCCACTAACCACTGAGTTAAAAGGGCGGGTCAGTGCGCCCATAGCCCCCTAGGCTCTGCACCTGTGGCCCTTCCCCGAGGATCTTCTCAAGGGTAACCCCAGCGGGTCACTCGACAAGGATCATGTAGTTACAAAAGAGAAGCTAACCAAGTGACGCAGACACTAGGTTCAGTAGCAGTGCTACAAACAAGCTGCCCCCGTCACCTGAGTGGCCGTAAAGAGGCAGCGATGCAGTTCGAAAGTATCTGCAATATCTGTGACCCATGCATGCGATAGAGATGAAACGTGTTTAGCTGCCCTTCTTGCCCTTTTGTCACCTTGCCTCTCCGTTCCAACTTGCCTCACAGGCGACCCCGTCATCCAGCAATGTACTGCACGGCAATAAGACCCCATCATCCAGCAATGTACTCCACGGCAATAAGTGTCAGAATGCAAGAATGATTGACTAGTGTGAGGAACCTAGAACATATACCTGTTGGGGTTGTACTCACTAGAAGCACACACCTAGGCTAGCCTATATCTTCTACATACAACATATGTATAAGTTGACACACCCCCTAGGCTAGGGAAGGGGTGGTGCTAAGCAAGAAGCATACAGCTCAGGGTGGAACTACTAGTCCAACCACTGAGGCAGGGGTCCGGAGACCAGTCAGCAAGAGTACAAACAAGACTAAAGCAAGCCAGGGCGGCACTACTAGTCCAGCCACTGGAGGTAAGGCCACAAGGCCAGTCAGACAGGTATATACATAGAGAGTACACAATCAGGGTCCTAACAAGTGAGAAGCTACAGGAACAAGACCAAGCTGTACACAGTGCCGCTGATGATCTTTAGACGCAAGCGCCTTAGTAAAGATATCAGCTGTGTTTGCACCAGAGGCCAAGTGAACTACACGGGCCTGTCGACGCTGGATATGCTTTGCTCTGCTCTCAAGTCGAGGCTCCTGACACAGGAGAATCATGGCCCTGTTGTCAGCGTACAGGACCGGGGCAGAGCTAGGCCGCTCACCTAAGTCGGCGAGCAAGAAGGTCATCCAGCGGAGCTCCGGCGTAGATCTCGGTCTCACAGCTGGACTGAGCAACAGACGACGAGCGAGTGGATCTCCAAGAGATAGCACCCGACCCAAGGCTGAAACAGTAGCCCTGAGACGACCTGAGAGTCTCATAGTCGTCTGCCCAAGAAGCGTCTGTGTGCCTAGTGAGGACCACTGGCCTGCGTCCTCCAAGCACTAACCCCATGCTCGATGTACTTGCTAGATATCGCAAAACCCTCTTAGCGGCCGACCAGTGCTGTGGTCAGTGTTTGCCGGTGGCCACAAAGCGAGCCAGAATGCTGAGAGGGTATGCGAGATCTGGGCGAGTGCAAGTCATCAGGTACATCAGGCAACCCACCAGCTCTGCGTAGCGGCCGTTGTGCTCTATTGGCTCCTCAGGAACGGGAGCAGAGAGCCCATGGTCTACAGGTAGAGATGTGGGCTGTGCGGAGGAGAACTGAAGACCGAACCTCTGAAGGACCTGACGCACCAAGTGTGACTGTGTCAGAGTGATGGTGCGTGCTGCTCTGTCCCTGGAGATCTGCAGGCCAAGATAGCGACGCAGCTCTCCAAGGTCAGTGCAGGTGTGTCTCTTCAGCAGCTCTGCCTTCACGGAGGCCAGTGCGTCCCTGTCAGCAGTAGTGAAGACCAGGTCGTCTACGTAGACAAGGATGTAGAATGGAGTCTGGCCAGAACACACAAAAAGTGAGGGGTCAGCAGAGGACGGCTGGGACAGCTGTTGCGACGACTGCGACTGCTGCGACGGCTGCTGCGGCTGCTCCTGCTGCTGGGGCGACGGCTGCTGCTCCTGACTAACTACGGCAGTTCCCTCAGTAGAGCCACTGTCCCCGGCACCATCACCACTACCACCAGCTCCACCACCACGCCCTCCCTGGCGGCCACGACCGGCGCGGCGCGAGCGCTGCTGCGGGTGGACCGCAGCTGCAGTCTTGGTCAGAGGGGTCGTAGTGGCGACCGCAGCCGAAACGTCAGTAAACGTGCACTGGGAGGGGGCACAGCTGTGAAAGATAGAGACTGCCAGCGCACCGCTCGACTGAGCGATAGTGCGCTGGCGAGTCTCGATCTCGGTCAGGGCGGTGACAAAGGCTGGCAGGGTGAGGTCACCCAGGTGCTGGCTAAGGATGTGGTCGCGTGCACTTAGCAAGGCGATCAGGTAGGCGCATAGCGATAAAGAGGGTGGGGAGCGCAGTGAGCTGGGCAGCAGTGCTAGCAGTTCGGTAGCGAGACTCTAGGGCTCGGAGGTGAGTGGCAAGGTCAGCAACAGTAGGGAAGGAAGCAAGGTCTGGGAAAAGCATAGGGAAGAGCTGGCGGCCTGCAGTAGCGGAGGCAGGCGTGGAATAGCGAGCAACAACAGCATCTAAGTAAGCCCTGGCTTTATCAACCGTAGCGAAACGCGAACACTCAGACACAGGGAGGACGTGACAGATCGCGACCTGAGCAACTGCATCGCGAGAGTCCCAGACGGCACCGGCAAGCGCAGCAGCAGTGAAAGCCTCACTCTCAGCAGAGGTGGGGTCAGCAGGGAGGGGAGCAGGCGCAGGGGGGCGGGGGAGCAAGCCATCAGCATGGACAACTAAGGGGTGCCCATCCTAGCGCTGACCTGTGAGTTGACGGCGGGGATCGGACAGCCAGGCGGCGAAGTCGACCGCATAGCCCTCTGCGTCCAGACGGAGTACGAAGTCAGCCATCGTGCATGGTCAGCGACGCAGCTCCTCAGCGACACAGGGACACAGCGGCACAGCTCCATAGGGACACAGTGGCACAGGGACACAGCAGGACAGCTCCAGGAGGACGGCTGCAAGACGCTCCAGCGCGGGCGAGCAGAGGACATGGGGGCCGGAGTAGCCAGGCGGGCGTAACGGGGCCGGGCTGGCGCTAGAAGGGGCCGAGTGGGCGCCACGGGACCGGGCTAGCGATGGGAGGGGCTGAGTAGGCGTTAGGAGGGCCGGGCGGGCGCTAGGAGGGGCCGGGCAGGCGCTGTGAGCCGGGCGGGCGCGACGGGCCGGGCGGGCGCGGAGGGGCCAGGCGGGCGCGACTAGGCCAGGCGGGCGCGACGGGGCCAGGCGGGCGCGACGGGGCCAGTCGGGCGTGATGGGCCAGGCGGGCGCGACGGGGCCAGGCGGGCGCGATGGGCCAGGCGGGCGCGACAGGGCAAGGCAGGCGCGACGGGGCTAGGGGGGCGCGACGGGGCCAGGCGGGCGCGACGGGCCGGGCGGGCGCGACAGGGCCAGGCGAGCGCGTCGGGGCCAGGCGGACGCGACGGGGCCAGGCGGGCACGGCGGGGCCAGGCGGGCGCGACAGGCTAGGCGGGCGCGACGGGGCCAGGCGGGCGCGACATGCTAGGCGGGCGCGACGAGGCCAGTTGGGCGTGACGGGGCCAGGCGGGCGCGACGAGGCCAGGCGGGCGCGACGTGGCCAGGCGGGCGCGACGGGGCCAGGCGGGTGCGACGGGGCCAGGCGGGCGCGACGGGCCAGGTGGGCGCGACAGGGCCAGGCGGGCGTTACGGGCCAGGCGGGCGCGGCGGGGCCAGGCGGGTACGGCGGGGCCAGGCGGGTGCGGCGGGGCCAGGCGGGCGCGACGGGCCAGGCGGCGCTACGAGCCGGGCGGGCGCTAGGGCTAGCTAGGGGGCGAGAGGCTAGGGCGCGGGCGGAAGCGGGTGGGTGGACCTAACCTACTCGTGATACCATGTCAGAATGCAAGAATGATTGACTAGTGTGAGGAACCTAGAACATATACCTGTTGGGGTTGTACTCACTAGAAGCACACACCTAGGCTGGCCTATAACTTCTACATACAACATATGTATAAGTTGACAATAAGACCCCATCATCCAGCAATGTACTGCACAGCAATAAGACCCCATCATCCAGCAATGTACTGCACGGCAATAAGACTCGACTCCCCACACAGAAATCAGGATGCTCTCCCATGCAGAAGGAGTCTAGTTTTCTGTTGATCTCTGTTGATCACCCTCAAACCAAAGAAATCACGATGCTCTCCCATGCAGAATGAACCAGAATGAACTGTTGCCTCCCACCCACGCCTAACGCACAACAGCAATGGGGCCTGTGCTGTGGTGGTGCGCCTGCTCTAGTGTTTCTTGAGCCCCAGCAGCAGCAGCAGCAGGGAGAAGTATGCGCCTCTGAACACTGCCTTCAGGATCATCTCCCCGCGCCGTGTGCTGGGGGGGAAGCGCAGTGCCAGGTCGCGCCCCAGTGGCTTGGTGAAAGCGGCCTTGCAGTGGCTGAAGCAGTCGAAGGAGAAGCGCCCCTTGTACCGCCCCATCCCGCTCTCGCCCACGCCGCCGAACGGCAGCTCCAGGTTGGCCGCCTGCGGGTGGGAAGGGAGGTGGGTGAAGGCAGAGGTCAGAGGATCAGGGTTTATGATGCACTGTTCAGCATGTCGGGTCGGCTGCACGGAGAACCGCCCCTGGTACCAACCGCCCCACGCTGCTGTCGTCCACGCCACCGAATGGCAGCTCCAAGTTGCCTGCCTGCCTGGGGGTGGGGAAGGGGGAAATGCAGGTGGTGACAAGAGACATGGGGTCAGGGGGTTCGGGCTTAAGGTGCACGGTGTGCGAAAGGGAGGAAGGTATGGGTGAAGCAGAAGGAAACAGAATTGGCATAGGGCCACAGAAGAGCTCAGTGCCCCTCTTGCCTGTCCCCTCTTGCCTGTCCGTTCCTTCCTCTCCTTTCATTCCTCTCCCCTCCTCCTTCTCTTCCCCTCCCTGCTCTCTCACGTGCAGTATGATCTCGTTGGCCACCATGGCCCGGGAGCTGGTCCCCTTGAGGAAGCGCTGCCACATGCCCTCCCGGATGAGAACATCATCACGACCAGGGGCTGGCAGGGCACTTGGTGCTCTCACTCACCTGCACTATGATCTCATTTCATACTCTCACTCACCTGCAATATAATCTCGTTAGCCACCATGGCCCCCGAGCTGGTCTCCTTGAGGAAGCGCTGCCGCACTGCCTCGCGCGACGAGAACACCATCACCACGAGCGGCTTGGGGCGCGCCGTGATCATATCGATGGCCTCGTCTATGCCCGACACCTGATGGCGGGCGAGAGGGAGTGGAAGGGAAAGAGGGGCACGAGGAAGCACTGTCACCTCGAGGGGCTTGGGGCGCGCCGTGATCATGTCGATAGCCTCGTCTATGCCCGACGCCTGATGGCGGGCGAGAGTTGGCAGCAGAGAGAGCAGACGGGCGCACAAACAGGAGACGACTATCAGTCGGGCCTTGGGGTGTGGCTTGGATGCGCCTAGTGCCTCGACTGTACCTGACTCCTGATGGTAGGAATGGCAGGCGGGAGCAGCAGAGGGAGCAGAGCAGGAGAGTGGGCAGCCATGGCCAGAGGCGCAATGGTGAACGGGAAGGGAGGTCATGGGGCTTCGGCTTGAAGGACGAGGAGAAATTAGAGGAGGCAGGGAGAATGGACAGCTAGGATGTGGGATCTTACAGTTTGGATGGTTAGGATGGGCCCAAAGACCTCGGTTTGCATGATGGGGGCATCCCAGGGCACATTGAGGAGCAGTGTTGGGGCGAAGTACCTGGTGGGGGGAGGAGAGGAGGAGAGGAGGAGGGTAGGGCGAGGGTAGGAAACAACAAAGTGAGGGAGAGGATAAGGGGGTTAAGAGAGAGGGGTGAGTTGGCTCAGGAAAAACAGTGACAGGGCATTGGGGAGAGAGCCATGGGGTTGACTTACCTTGAAACACCTTGACTCACTTTGACTCCACATCGCTCTCCCCCCCGTGCACAACACAAGCAGCCGTGGCAGCGTGCTCCACCAGGTGCTGCAGGCGCCGCACGTGGCTGTGGTTAATGATGCGCGCGAGGTCCGCGCAGCGCGAGGGGTCCGTGCCATAGAACTGCTCTATGGCCGCCTTGAGATGGGGGATCTGCGGGGAGAAAAGGGAGGAGAAGGGGGAAGATGGGGGGAAATGGCGGGGGATGGGGGGAAATGGTGGGGGATGGGGGGAAATGGTGGGGGATGGGGGAAGACACAAAAGGGAAACACGAATCGAGAGCACGAATGAAATCGGGGCAGCAAGAGGGGTCTGTGCCGTAGAACTGCTCTATGCCTGCCTTGAGGTGGGGGATGTGAGAGAAGGGAAGAGATAGGAAGGGACATGAGAGGGAGCGTGGAGGGGAGAGCATGAGAGGGAGCGCGGAGGGGAGAGCATGAGAGAGGCTTGAGGCAGCAAGAGGGGCCTGTCCTCTAAAACTGCTCAGTAGCCGCCTTGAGGTGGGGGATCTGCGGAAGCAGATGGAAATCGAACGGGAGAGCAGTAGGGGGAGCAGGAAGGAAGTCGCAGCAGCGGGAGAAATCGGAGCTGAGGACTGCCCGATGGCTGCTTGGAGGAAAGAGGGTGCGGGGACTGCTAGTGACAGCTCTTGACAGCTCGTGACAGCTAGTGACAGCATCTCACACACGAAGAGCTGACCTCAGAACCATAGAGATGACCTCAGGGAGCACCACGACAGCTAGTGACAACTTTCTCCCCTCCCCCATGTCACAACTCTTTCCCTAGCCCCCTCTGTCCTCACCAGGCGAGCAGCCACGTCCTTGGTGGCGAGGATGTAGTCCGGCACGAGGCACACCTGCCCTGCGTTGGTGCACTTGCCCGAGATGATTCGCTTCGCTGAGATCTGTGAAGGTTGAGAGTGGTGCAAAGTGGTAAGGGACGGTTTAGGGAAGGGGAGAAGGACACACTTGCAGTCTGTGGTGCTTGGCCAATGGAGCATGCACGTTGGTCATTGGGCATGGGGAATGTAGTATGCAGCATGGGTCATGGGTCGTCATGGGGCATGGGCCATGAGTCATGGGGCATCGATGATGGGGCATGGGTCATGGGGCATGGGTCAAGGGGCATGAGGCATGGAGCATGGGTCATGGGGCATGAGGCATGGAGCATGCAGCATGGGGCATGGGGCATATAGTTCAGGGTGCGCACCTCCAGGTCTGCGGAATCATCGATGAACAGTGGATTCTTGCCGCCCAGCTCCAGGGTGACAGGTGTCAGGTGCCTACTGGCCGCCTCCATCACGATGCGCCCCAGTGCTGTGCCGCCCGTGAAAAAGATCTTATCCCAACGCCGCCCCAACAGCGCCTTGCCTGTCTCGGGCCCGCCCTCTACCACCTGGGGACGAGTGGGGACAGTGAGGCAGAGAGGCAGAGAGGTAGAGAGGCAGAGAGGCGGAGAGGCAGAGACGCAGGGAAGAGAGGCAGGGAAGAGAGGCAGGGAAGAGAGGCAGGGGAGAGAGGGAGGGGAGAGAGGCAGGTTTGATTCACCCAGGGAACGAGGGCGAGAAGTGGGCCAGAAGGCGGGGGATGAAGAGGGCGCCTATTAGCGTCTGCTAAGGGGCACACCAGCGCCCTGCCTGTACGCAGCCCGGTCACTCACATCTGCGGGCACTCACATCTGCGGGCACTCTCATCTGCGGGCACTCTCATCTGCGGGCACTCTCATCTGCGGGCACTCTCATCTGCGGGCACTCTCATCTGCGGGCACTCTCATCTGCGGGCACTCTCATCTGCGGGCACTCTCATCTGCGGGCACTCTCATCTGCGGGCACTCTCATCTGCGGGCACTCTCATCTGCGGGCACTCTCATCTGCGGGCACTCTCATCTGCGGGCACTCACATGTGCGGGCACTCTCATCTGCGGGCACTCACATGCGGGCACTCTCATCTGCGGGCACTCTCATCTGCGGGCACTCTCATCTGCGGGCACTCACATGTGCGGGCACTCTCATCTGCGGGCGCTCTCATCTGCGGGCACACTCATCTGCGGGCACTCTCATCTGCGGGCACTCACATGTGCGGGCACTCTCATCTGCGGGCACTCACATGCGGGCACTCTCATCTGCGGGCACTCTCATCTGCGGGCACTCTCATCTGCGGGCACTCACATGTGCGGGCACTCTCATCTGCGGGCGCTCTCATCTGCGGGCACTCTCATCTGCGGGCACTCTCATCTGCGGGCACTCTCATCTGCGGGCACTCTCATCTGCGGGCACTCTCATCTGCGGGCACTCTCATCTGCGGGCACTCACATCTGCGGGCACTCTCATCTGCGGGCACTCACATCTGCGGGCACTCTCATCTGCGGGCACTCTCATTTGCGGGCACTCTCATCTGCGGGCACTCTCATCTGCGGGCACTCTCATCTGCGGGCACTCTCATCTGCGGGCACTCACATGTGCGGGCACTCTCATCTGCGGGCACTCTCATCTGCGGGCACTCTCATCTGCGGGCACGCTCATCTGCGGGCACTCTCATCTGCGGGCACTCTCATCTGCGGGTGATGGGCAGGGCGGGAGGAAGACAGGAAGAGCCCAGAACGCCAGCTGCTACCAACACCACCACTGGCCACTTGATGTGTTTACAAACCGACTCTATATCAGATAGTAACTACCCGAGAAGGAACCTACCTAGAGAAAGCTCTCAAGCATCAAGACCAAGGTCGCAAGCACCTAGAACAAGGTCGCAAGCACCTAGAACAAGCTCGCGAACACCTAGAACAAGGCCGCAAGCTCCTAGAACAAGCTCTCAAAGACCTAGAACAACCTCACAAGCACCTAGAACAAGCTCGCAGCAACTAGAACAAGCTCGCAAGCACCTAGAACAAGCTCGCAAGCACCTAGAACAAGGTCACGAGCACCTAGAACAAGGTCGCAAGCTCCTACAACAAGCTCGCAAAGACCTCGAACAACCTCGCAAGCACCTAGAACAAGCTCGCAAGCACCTAGAACAAGGTCGCAAGCACCAAGAACAAGCTCACAAGCACCTAGAACAAGGTCGCAAGCACCCAGAACAAGGTCGCAAGCACCTAGAACAAGGTCGCAAGCACCTAGAATAAGCTCGCAAGCACCGAGAACAAGGTCGCAAGCACCGAGAACAAGCTCTCAAGCACCGAGAACAAGCTCGCAAGCAACTAGAACAAGCTCGCAAGCACCAAGAACAAGCTCGCAAGCACCTACAACAAGCTCGCAAGCACCTAGAACAAGCTCGCAAGCACCTACAACAAGCTCGCAAGAACCTAGAACAAGCTCGCGAGCACTAGAACAAGGTCACAAGCACCTAGAACAAGGTCGCAAGCACCTAGAACAAGGACGCAAAGACCTAGAACAAGGATGCAAAAAGACCTTAAACAACCTCGCAAGCACCCAACCTAACAAACATTCCTAACCTTAAACAAACAAATGACTAACACACAAATGTGCAACATTGCAGCCTATCTCCAACACACCCCCTAGGCTGCAACGGCTGAAGTCATCGGGACGCCAAGACCCATAGCACGGAGGAGGCGGTAGTGGTCACGGCGTCCAAGAGACTTGGTGAACAGGTCTGCGAGGTTGCAGTCAGAAGAAATGTGCTTCACCCACAACTGGCCACGCTGGACCAACTCGCGCATAAAGAAGTGCCGAAGCTCGATATGCTTGGTCCGTTGGTGGAGGTCTTTGGTAAGGTGTATAGTGCTCTCGTTGTCACACCATTGGGTCGGGGTCCATTGAGGATACCCGAGCTCAGCCATGAGGTAGGTAAGCCATCGGGCTTCTTGGGCTGCCATGGTGCCTGCGTACAGCTCTGCTTTGCAGGACGACAAAGAGACGGACGATGAGCGTGTAGATCGACAGCTGATGACACCACTACCAAGGGTGAAGCAATAGCCCTGAGAGGAGCGTCTGTCAGCTTGGTCGTCAGCCCATGAGGAGTCACTGTACCCCTCGAGGTGAGGAGGGGACGTGCCACCGAGAGTGAGGATAAAGTCCTTGGTGGCTTGAAGGTCGCGAAGGACACGCTTAGCAGCTGACCGGTGGCGATTGGTGTAACGGCCAGCAGCAACGTAATGTGAGAGCACGCTGATGGGATAGGCCAAGTCGGGCCTTGTGCACATCATCGCATACATGAGTGAACCGATGAGCTCGAGATAAGCTGCATCACAAGGCTCAGGTGATGGAACTGGCGGGGCAGTCAGATCGTGCTGCAGGGGAAGCGGCATAGCCACTGACTTGGCTTCGTCTATGTCAAAGCGCTTCAGGACGTTGTTCACGTAGAACTCTTGGGAGAGAGTAATGGTTCGGGCTTCACGATCCCGCGTAATTTCCATCCCAAGGTAGTTCTTGAGTTCGCCGAGATCCTTCATCGCGAGCGCGTCCCCTAGGGCTTGCTTGACTGCTGCCAGCTGATCGGAGTCCTTGGAGACAAGGATCATGTCGTCAACATAGACGAGAATGAAGAACGGCTTCTCGTTCTTGCGAATGAAAAGTCTCGGATCGGCGGCAGAAGGATGAAAGTCGAGTGACTCGAGGGTGGCCTTCAGCTTCTTGTGCCATTTGCGAGGAGCTTGCTTCAGCCCGTAGACGGGTCGATTCAACTTCCAGAGTGTGCCGGATGGAAAGGGTAAGGGGAACCTTTGAGGCCGTTCCATGAAAATATCCTCAGGGAGGTCTCCTTGCAGGAATGCCGCTGAGACATCCATAGATTGGACCTTGAATTTGCCTCGAGCAGCGACATCAAGGAGAGTGCGAAGGGTATGCAGTTTAGCTATTGGGGAGAAGGTGTCAAAGAAATCCAACCCCTTTTTCTCTGTGAAACCTTTGGCACAGTAACGTGCCTTATAGACCGGAAGTTCACCAGGTAGCTGTTTGACACGAAACACCCATTTGCCGCAGACAATGTTCACTCCTGGAGGAGGAGAGACGTCGGTGAAGGAGTTGTTACGAATGAATGCTTCACACTCAACGATCATGGCTACGAGCCACTGCGGGGAGTGCGGCCCAGAGATGGCTTCATCGTACATGTTCGGGATCGGGATGGATGGATTCTCTGAGAAGTCGAGGGTTGGAGCATATGCAAGATCGGGGAAGAGATAGCAGAGCTGGTGAATGGCCGCATCGATATCAATCAACTCATCATGCCTATCTTCCAGTAGGCCAGGCATGAGTGCACCCCCGGCAGGAGGAGGCGGATTGAGGGAGATGCGGACGGAGAGAGCGAGAGGCTGGATGGGACTATGAGAACGGGTACGATGAGCGACGGGGGAGGAAGGAGGCGGCGGAGGAGTAGGTTGGACGGAAACATAAGAACGACCTTGGCGACGACGCCGATAGGTGATGCGTGGGGCGGCGGGAGGGGGAGCGGCAGGTGCGGATGCCGGAGAAGGGGGGGAGGAAGGCGCAGGCAATGGTGACAGCGCGGGAGGAGGAAAAGAGGGAGCACCCGAGGTGGCGGGGGAAGGAGGGTGGGAAACAGCGGAAGGAGACAGAGCGGGTGAGGAGGAGAGGGTAGAGGAATCAGGAGTGGTGGCAGCGGGGATGGAGAGCGAGGCGTCGAAATCGGCCCAGACGAGCGAAGGTGGAGAGGGGGCGGGAGACAAGTAAAGATAAAATGGGCGAGTCTCGTCAAAAGCGACATCTCGGCTACGGATGAGTAGATTAATGGATGGATTGAGAAAAAGGTAGGCTGGAGAATCGAGGTTGAGACCAAGGTAGACGCATGTCTGAGTCTTGGGAGCGAACTTGCCGCCATGGGGCGCGGCAATCATGACGATTGAGGAGGACATAAGCAGTACACCCCCAGATACGGAGCGGGCGTGCACTTCGCTTGGAGCCTGTCCAGAGCTCGGCAGGCGTGACCTCGGGGCGAAGGGGATGAGGGTGAAGGTTGTAGAGGAGGGTGGCGTGAAGGAGAGCGTATCCCCAAAGGGAGGGTGGAGCGGCAGCGTGCGTGAGAAGACAGCGGGCAATTTGCACAAGAGTGCGATTGCGGCTTTTCGCGATGCCATTCTGCTCCGGGCTGTGCGGGAGAGTGAAGGTTTGGCGAATTCCTTGCGAAGCGCAAAATGTGTGAAGGGTGTGATTGCGGAACTCGCCACCGCCGTCGGAATGGAGACACTTGACGGAGGTGCGATAGTGGGTTTGAGCTTGCCGAACCCAGGCGATGACGGCATCAGAGACCGCCGCTTTGTAGGAAAGGAGGTGGACGGATGCGTAGCGAGAGTGATCGTCCACGAGTACCAAGAAGTATGAATGCGCGCCACGGGATTAGAACAGGCGCCGGCCCCCAGAGATCCAAATGGATGAGATCAAGGAAGGCGGCCGCGGCGGAGGGTGATGGAGGGTGAGGCAATTGACG